TGTTGTTGTTGTTGTTGTTTCATTCTCTCATTTTTTGAAGCAAAGCGCGACAATCTTGCCATCAGATCAGCTGATAAAAAGGCAAGCGGACCAGCGAGAGACCCCTGGAGCATTGTACAAATCATACAACAACCAACCAGCCAGCCAGCCATCAACCGTCACAGCAACAGCAAAAACAACAGGGTAAAAATTGCAAAAAAAATAAATAAAAAGAGCAACAACCGACAGCTGTTTTAAGCTTTTTTTTAGCTTTATTTTTGTACGAAAAGGGAATGAATGTTCGGAAAATGACTACAAACCATTATCGCCGGCCGGTCATCAAATTTCAAAGTTTTTTTTTTTATTTTTATTTATTTTTCTGTCGATTGCATTTTGCGATTAAAACTAAAATAAAAACCCAGCCAGAGTGGATACAGGATGTGGGGGGGAAAATCATGGGGTAGAATTGTGGTGTCACTATCGGTCTAGTGATTAGTCAACTGTAGGAAATGCTAATCAAGATCTTTATTAAATGCCTTTCTTATCCGGTGGCAACGAATGATAAATGAGAAATAAGATAGAAATCTAAAGAAAAAATCAGTCAAGACATTTCTTAAAATATCTTTAAAGTGTAAACACAATTATAAACTAATGAAATTAATCCTCATTAATCGGAAATACTAAAGATTTACCAAGGTTGTACTTGGGAATTACAAGGTTTAAGGTTCAATAGGTTCTGAAATGGTAAAATATTTTATTTATAACATTTTGGTTCATTACTCGACTTTATTCAAAAGCTAATTTTGCTGACTCCTTTGTTTTTACGGAAATAAAAAACTTATCAGAGGAAATGATTTTAATTTCTGGCCCATGACTCAGCCAGGCACGTCATCAAGTAATTTATGTATTCCATATAAGGTTACGTTTTATTATTAATGAAACACGATAAAATGAATAAATATAAAAAAATACACACTTCATGAAATAAGCTTCAATATTTTAGGAAAGTCTAGATCTCCCTCTCTCAAAACGCATTTAAGACTTATCAGAGTTATTTCCAGTGCCCTTCCTATCCATTGATTATTCACTTATTTGTTTCGATTTCCCCTCTCTCTCTTACTTGTGATAAGAAAACAACACAAAAAACAATGCTAAAAACTGCAATATCTATATTTTTAAATATATATATATTTTATGACTAACTTCCACTTCCAGATCATCCAGTTACTGCCCCTTATCGACTTGCCTTCATACTTGATATGCAAATGTGTGCGCTGGCCAAAAACAACGATAATAACAATAAAAACAATACAAAAAAAAAAAAAATAAGGCAACAATGTAAAAAAACAACCTTTTTGTAATTTGTTATGCTTGTTGGTGTGTGTTGGTGTTTTTTTTTCGTATTTGTTGGTGTGTTGTTGTGTGCAACTGTTGGTGCTTTTATCTGCTGATATTTCCTGGTCCGATTTCCAGCAAATCAACAGAAACAGAGACACACAGAGCTTATCGCAATTATTAAAATACAATGTCAAAATGGAGCCGAGAGCCCCGGCGATTATCTTTGCCAATTGAAATGGACACAGGGACAGGGGCAGCGGCATGGGGTGCTGCAACCTGAGCCCTGACTTTTTTTTTATCGCAACTGCAACTGCAAAAAACGGCATTTGCAGTTTGCATTTTGCAGTACGTAGTTAGCTGCTAGCTGCTCTTATCGGCTCTTAGACCCCCTTTTTGAAGCGCCCCCCTTTTTGCTATGGAAAGCGAAGCGAACCGCTTGACACGTACCCGCGCCGATTTCAGATACGCAACCGGAGACCGCCCCGGCGGAGCCAGACTGAGCAGCAGAATAGAGCCAACATTACACAGAAAAAAATTATTGTTAAGGTTTAATAAATTAAAGAATGATTGATGAAAAAGAAAACAGAGCTCACAAGGGGGTTTCTCTTGAATAATAGTTCACAAATACCCCTCAATCTCGCTCATCTCTTGCGGTTTAAGCTTTTTCAGACTGCTTTGCCTGCAATGCATAAGCAAAGCAGCAATAACAGCTTACAAGTTTTATTCTGTAGCCAACGAGAAGAGTCTTTTTCAGCTGTTCTCTTTATATATATTTTCTTTCAGTGTCTCCCATATGACTGTAAAACTCAAACTTGAGTCGAGTTTTTGGTCTAAAATTGTCACCCGCATTTGGGGATGACTGTCGATGTCGATGTCGATGCTGCTCTGCCTGGGCCGTTGTTGTGTCTTTTGTGGCTGCCAACTGACAAGCGAACAACCAACCAGCAACCGATAAACGACAACCAACAGCTGGCCATTAATATAAAATTAGTGATAAGCGTAATTAAAATTTATAAAAAACAACAACAACAACAACACAAACAACCGAAAAGCAACCACAACAAATAACAGAATTTATCTATGCGAGTCTGCAACTGCACATTCCCTCAGGTCTCTCTGAGCTCTAAAAGGTGTAGAGATACGAATCAAGGGCGGCAGGTGATCAAAATGCAGTTGAAACTCAAATACCCTAAAATTATAACCATTTAAAAATAATCGAATTAATCGAAATTTATCGAATTAATTAGGAACAAGAGTTAATCGAAGAAAAAACATTCAGTTAGGAATTGGGGTTTAAATAATACCTAAAATACACCTGAAAACTAAAGCTTTTCTATTTGCTCAACAGCTTTAAGTACCATTCAGATCAATTCCAAATAAATCAAACCCTTTTGAAGGGTGTAATCGATAGCGAGGCCGAGGGCGTTGTCATCACGATTCCTACACTTTTGCCGATATACAAATGTCAGTTATTGAAGCTTATGTAAAAAGGCAAACAACAATAACAAAAGCCACTGCTGCTGCTGCTGCTGTTGCTGCAATTGTGATAAAAGTTTATCGAGTTGCGCTTTTCAGTTTTTTTTTCTCGCCTCCTCAACAACCTTAAAACCCCCCTTAAAAACGCGATAGAAAACAACAGGGACACGGACAGAAAGTGAGGCAAGAGATAAATATGCAAAGCACAAAATGTTAAGAGGAGTATGGTGGCCTTTAGGGGGTGGTTAGGTGGCTCTACCCAATGATAGTGCAGGTGCCACAACAACAACAACAACGAACAATGAACAACAAACAGCTGCAGAGATAAAAAACAAAACTGCCCTAAATTATCGTTTTACGCAAATGGAGAAGTTCTTCGTTATCCATTTCAACGGTTACCCTATTAAATAGTTAAAAGTTTTTCAGCTTAATGGATTTTTTGAACTTGTTTTCGAATATAAATAGAGTTTTAAGTAGATTGTGTTTGGGTTTTACTACTAAGGAATGATCAAAGACAAACTATTAGCAATGAAATTTGTATGGCGTTATGCATCTTATTATTATTATTTTCCCCACTGATTGCTCCATTAGAGTTTTATCATAGGCTTTAGCTTAAGTTTATCGATCCTGCGCCTTTTCAGCTTGCTGTGTAATGACTTTGGAGCTGATATCACTCGTTGTTGGGTCAGAGCTCGTTTGGGAGCTCGATGGATGATGGGTGGCCGGTGGGCTGGGTGGGGCCAGAGAGTCAGCCAGCCGAGAAACGTGCTCGGAGCAGAAGCACAGCGGACAGCGATAAGGAGTCCAAAATGGCAAAATGGATAAGGCGGAAAACGGATGGGGGAATGGCAACCGGGGTGAACCAGAGGTGAGCCGAACTGAGCTGAGGTGCGGTGTCCAGTGTCGCAGGTCCGGCACGTTTTATCGATTCCGATTCCGAAATATATGCATTCATTGGGTGTCAAATGGTCCGGGGCCATAAATATATCAAATGGGTATACAACGAAATGTAATTAGTTAATACTCTTCACGCTCTCTCTCTCTCTTTAGCTGGCAATATTTATGTACAAGGTGTGTCACCTGCAGCACGTACAACAGGTATCGATATCGATAACGTGGCGACGACAAAGAAATTTCATTTAAATGAGCAACGAAAAAAAAAAGTTGACAATTTTTGTCGTAATATATAATACCCTTGATAAATCCAAGGTTGTGGAGTATATAAGGCTTAATTGTCTTAGAGCCACATGGAAAATATTTTTAAAACTTTGAATATCTTCCAGTTCTTGGTTGCTTTTTTGGTATGTACATATATTTCTATATAAGTATTCTCAGTTTAAGAGTATTTACTAATAAGACCAGCAAGATATAGGGGTTCCCAGACATAATACCACTTATAAATCCAAAATTCTTGAAGTATACAAGTCTTGATTTGATGAGTTTAACCCAAAATCTAAAGCTTTTTGGGTACAAGTTTATTGTAGTTTAATATAAAACAGAACCTACCAAAAGAACAAAAAAATATTTGCTATTAAAGAATAATTACAACCTGAAACCCAAGATATGTATATTAATGTCTTTTTTTAAGTTATTTTCTTTATCTTCACCGCAATTTCCCGTCTGACAAAGATCTTTTCTTGAAAAGTTCGTACATAATCAAAAGTCGTATAAATCATTTTAATATCGGGTATTCCGATAGTCGCAAAAAACTTTGACTTTATCGTTCTCACTTGTTTCTTGGTTTGTATTTTTTTATTATTATTATTTTGCCTGCTTTTTGTCTTGGCATAGTTTATCAGCTGTCTTCCCCTTCTCTCGCCGTTCCCCTTGCTTTGTTTTCTGTGTTTGCTGTGTGTTCGTTCACATGTTATGCTGTACGAAAAAACGAGAGCTGCTGACCAAGCGAGCGAATTTTCGAATGGGTCAGCTGGCTTCGAGGGGGGTCGCCAGGTGGGAAAAGCGATCGTGGAAAGCGAAGTGAAGGTGTATATTTCACAGGGAAACTAAAGAAACCAATTAACTCACGAAATCAATTTTAAAAATCAATTTTCGAGAATTAATTTTAAATATTTTTGACATCCAGATTCCTTGTTATGAACAATATTATTTTCTGTATAAAAAATATGAATATTTTAAGCAATAAAAACCCCCATATATAAGATATTTTTCAAAAGTAGTAAATTAAAAAAAATCTAAGAAAAACTCACCTTTATTCAACGGCTTGGGATTGGACTGTTTGCGTCGTGACATCGCGAGTCCAAGCGGCGGGAAATCGATGACGTTTTCCTGACAGCTACGTCACGGCATCAAATCTGCAGCTGATCCAAATGCTTTACCCTTTTCGCGGACATTTACCCGGCGGATGCGGTTGCGGATGCAGATACTGATACGGCGATACACAATCACTCACTTTCACACACACGGTCGCACTTTGCGAGTATCAATAAATAGATTGCGATTATTATTTGTATTATTTGTAATTTTTTTTTTTTTTTTATTTGCGGCGATTAACAAGCCTTAATGAATTTTTAACGATCGGCGCGTTAAAAAACGCGGGAGGGCGCGCGCGATCGTGGAACGTTGGCAATGAAACGTGGAATTATATTTCCAATTGGAATGCAGCTGTCGATGGACGATTAATCACTTTGATGTCTGATCAGAGTTGGTTTTGGTTTATTTATTATGTTAGCATATCATTATTAAATATATAATGACAAATCAATTTAACGGAATCTATGTAAAAATCCACTTGAACTCTACCAGAACACCGTTTCCAAATCCATACTTTGATATTTTCCTACGATTTTTTCACAAATCCGTTCATTCGTGGCGAATTTTTTAAACAAAAATTACGTTTTTTCCGGCGAAATTTCAAGTTTATTCCGTCGTGTACCTGTGCCGCGAATAAAAAATTTTGAAACGGTTTTCTTAGCGTCTCATTTCTTATATACCATTCGCCAGAGGGAGGTTTGCAGAGAGCTGCGCTCTGGCCAACAGAGAACTCTGTTAAATGGAGAGCCGCTCTCTCACTGCTAATTGGAATATGCGCCAGAATTTGTGGGACTTGCCGATTCATTAATTTAAAACTCATCGTATAAAATAACGAGAGAATATTAAATTATTTTTATGTTTATACAATACAAAACTAATAATTTTCATAAATATCACTGGGCGAGTTTATGGAAACGAACTTATTGGTCCCTTCCAATTTGCTTTGCATTCTGATTAGCTGTGATGAATATTCTGACTCACTTTTGTAAACTGCCTTAACAGACTTATAATTAGCATTTTGATAATTCTTAAGCTCTCATTTATGAATGCGATCGAAACGCAGCGGAAGTGAAACATAACAGTAACGGAAAGCGAAACCGAAACCAACGTTACAGCCAAAGAGAGAGAGAGAGAGCGCCAAAATGTCCAGAAAACGAAAAGCTTAATTGGAAAGAGAACCCTACAGAGAGAGCACGCTCTTATTGGAGCTCACTCGCTCTCACCGTTACCATTTTGTTTTTACTCTGTTTTTCATTGCCGCGCACGCTTTACCGTCTGCTTCGCTTTCGTCTGATAAGAATCAAAACAAAAACGCCGAAACATTTTACGCACGTTTTCACACATCGCACCTGCTCGTTCTCTCCATCTTTCTTTCTCTTATTATTAAACAGGAGGTTATTAGTTATTAAATCACTTTTTGTTACACTTTTATAAGTTTACGTTTTCTTATTGGAATTTGTAAAAATGACGAGTTTGTTGTTTTTTATGACTCGCTAAGAGCTCTTTGTTTTTGTTGGTTGTTTAGCAATTGTTGTTCACACAGGTTTCAGCATTTTTAGGTCTGTTATATAGATTCACGATACACCAATTATATTCCTTGTTTCTTGTACACATTTTCTGTTTATTCCATTGTTTTTTGCAGGGTTCTTTAAATTTGTTAAAAATTCCTTTGTTGTTTTCCTTTTTTGCTTCTTGTTTCCTTTTCATTTTGTCTTCCAATTGGCGTTAAGCATTTTTCTTATCAGCAAACGCAGTTGTGAGTTTGAGCAGAGTTAGCTGTGGCTATATGCCGATAGAGGGCGCTTTGGAAGACGACCCAAAGTAAAGTCTACTTTTAGGCATTGCCAAGGAAAAGGCGCCACTCAGAAAAAGTTTAAAATTTCACAAATTGTTTAAAATTTAGCAAATGTTGTTAGGCAAACATAAAAATAAATAAATTTAAAAAAAATCTAAATTAGTTTCCGGCCTTCAACGACCTAAGTAAATAAAAAATGTGCCTTGTCGATCCAAATAAATAATTAATAAATCTTAAAATTCTTCATTTAACACCCATATTCATCCTAGCTTCCTTTTATCTCACATAAACCATAAATAAATGTATAAAAAAATAAATAATTACGCTCTAGCTGGGCCACAGAATTCCATTTCCGGCTAACATTTTATTTAGAGCTTGCACTTCCGTTTCGTTTTGCTACTTTTTTGTTTTGCGTAATTTTTCTTGACTCTTTTTTTTTTCTTTGCAGGTTTGCACACCTTTTGGTCCTGTAATTTGCACCTATTGCCCGCTTTTAATGGTTTCTGCAGCTGCTTTGCATTGTTCGCTCATAGATTTTAAAAATTGCGACAGCAACGGAAATGAAAAGCTTCCTGGACGAAAAAGGACCTCATGCAAAGTGGGGAATGCGACAGCAATAAATATCAGAAAGCAGTTAGTTAGCGATGCGGCCATAATCCCGGCTAACATATGGCCAAGTCGATTAGCAAAATAGGACCCGCTCCCCGTTTATCCTTGGCGGATTTTAAATTCCCTTTTAATACATTCCCCTCCACCTTTCCCCGCGATAATCGGTAATGAAGTATACGCACCGTTGACCTTCGCTACGTTCATTAAACTTTAGTCGCTTTTTTCGGGTTTCTGATCGCTTTTTTTGTTTTGTTTTTTCTCTGCTGCTGTGTTCAATGCAATTCGGCAAAACGCCCAGAAAAACCTATAAAAATAAGGTAAAATAAAAGATAAAATGGGTAAAAAAGCAAGATCAAAAATGGTTATAGGGTTACGAGTCTCGAAAGATCTAATTTCTATCAAAAATAAACTCAAACAAAAAACTTAAAACACTTTCCTAAAAAAGCCAAAGCCTCTCTACAAAGAATAATGGCCTTCGCATCTTCAAACTTGTTAACAGGTTGCCTGAAAAAATCTAGCTAATAACCATGGCTAATACCCAAGGGGGGATTCCCTGCAAATTTAGTTGGAATTTCAACTAATTTATAGAGTCGAAGCTTCGTTGTCAATCAGCCGTTGTATTTAACCGCATTTTCTGGCCAACAACAGGCAATAAACAAATAAATAAAATAATATGTAACCCAGAGACGGCCTCCTCCTGCTGTAATCATAGTCCATTACACTCGCCAACTGGGGAGGCGCGAAATGTGGGGATTGGGAACTGCCGACGACGACGACGACGAGGTGAGCAACTCTTCCAGGTCAAGCAACTTGCACGGCGGCAAGGCCATGCCCGTGACTGAAACTGAAATGGAAATGGAAATACGCGAAAAAACGAAAAAAACACACTAAACATCAGCCGAAAATTTTGGCGGGGGAAGCGAATATCATTGACACAAGGTGCAGTTACCTTGCCTGCTCCGCCGAGTGCAATGATCCGTTGATCTGTGCTTTTGGGATGGGATTCGGATCCGATCGAATCGGAAGCGGAGCAGTGCTTCCAACCCTGGGAGATGCCTCGTTGCCTGACCTTACCCTGAACGGAACAATATGTGTTCGTGAGTTCGTATATATGGGAAATTGGGGTCAATACACTGAGCAGCCTTAATGATACAAAATTATATGTTGCTTAGCTATTTACCGAGTGTTTTCTAGGGTTTTTAGTATTATTTACTTATGTCTTTAGGGTTTTAGTGATATTTAACATGTTTTTTTTATGGGTTTTTGAAGGTCTTTAAATGGATTATATTGGTTAAAGGTTAAGATATGGGTTTGTTTTTGTTGTGAGTTGAATTTTAGGGTTGTAAAAATTATGTTAATTTAAAATTGTGTAAATATTAAATGAATTTTTCATTATATTTAGACAATTTTGCCTACTTCAGGGGCTATTCGACCATAAACTTCATTTCGGGAATGTTAGAACCAGTTGGGAATTATATGTGCAACACAAATTTTAGGGTGAATTAGCCAAGGTTTTTAGGAGAAATTGATTTCCAAAACTAGTGCAATGTAATCTTGTATTAAGAAAGGAACTAAACTAAGTGAATCAGATATAAAATGCACCAAATTTCAGAAAAACAGATAAAGTAACCCGGAATATAATGTCTTGTCTTGATTTTAGGTGCGTTGACTTAAATTTCATGTATGTTTCTTAGTTTTTTTTTTATAATTTCATAAATTCTTCGTAGTTTCTTAACATCAAATAAATTTAAGTTAAAAACTCAGTTCTTGTAGAGTATTTTTTTCTGTGCATTTCAACCTTGCCGTTCTCTTTGACTCTCTTAAATTTGTTTCTTTTCTTTTAATGGAGCTCTCGCTATATCTCTTTTTTTCTGATGCTGATCCAGCTGCCAAGATCATCGTCGGCGGCCTGGGCTCCTTGCATAAATTAAAACTGCTGATGAAATCCGCCAAGTTCGTCGCATAAGCGAGCCAAAAACAAAAAAATAAGACACTGACTGTTTCCCAAGCGGAGATAAAATTATTCACTTGTTTTTTTCTTTATAAAAAGCTTCTTTGTTTTGGTTTCTTTTTTATTTTTTGGCAATGCTGCATTTACCCGTTATAGCCGCCCCCAAAGAATGCATTCGCGATCAAAGTCCAAACGAAACCCGCCCCTTTTTACCCCCCACCGAGATATATAGCCCGATATTCATCAGATTTATTTTTAGATGGCAAACAAAAATGCAATATTTATAATAGAGAATCGCCCTCTCACTTTCGGGGCTCTCTTTGCCGCCGCTGCTAATTGCGGTAGGTTCGTCTTTGGCCCATGCTGCGTATACGTGATGTCGACTTTGGCCACCCCGAGTGTATGTACCTACAGACATATGTATAATCAAGTGGCCATGGGACGGTATTAAGGTATAAATACACCCGAAAGTGTACATCTGGCAGGCGATAATCGAGGCATGTAATTTGGGTGTAAAAGAGAGCCAAGGTAATTACGAGAAACAATCATTTATAGAGGATTTTCTTGGGCTAAGGGAAGTGTTTTAAAAACTTAATGTTGTTGGTTTGAAAAATTAGGAATGTGTGCAAGTCGAGGGGAAATATATCAATTTATTCAACGTACATTTGCAAAATGAGTTAAACAATCTGAACAATAATCTTGTCTTACTTTAAAACTCGTCTTGAATTATGATTCATTCCTACAAAAACAAATACTTATTTAAATAAAGATTATAAATATTTCAAAGTTTATTATAAATTTCAAAATTAGTATATTTATAGCCTAAAAGCTAGGCATAGGCTGAGATTATGCTATTCATTTGTAGAGGTTTCCGGTTCAAATAAGATGATTAGATTTGTCATACGAGTAATAAAGTTGACTGTCTAAAAATACCCATGAATACTGATTGATCCGAGTTGATTTAGGACCTTTGACCTTTATATATGTTTTCCGCTGATCCACTTTTCTTATCTCAAATCGAATGCGAATTCTCCATCTATTTATAGCCCCCAAAGTTGCTTTGACCAGACATTAAAGAGGAAACTGATGAAATACCATGGGTGTTTTGGTGATTATAATGCTTGATTACCACAAAATTCGGTACTTCACCCCCAAGTGGTAGACTCTACGCCGCCAGGGTCACCTTTCGGGTCACCTTCACCTTCTTTCTCTCTCTCTCTCTCTTTAGCACCATCGATCATTCGCCTCACGCATGATTTTTTTTTTTTTTTATTTAGTATTTGCACTGATCGAGATATTCGAAGCCGCGGGAACCTATAGCTATGAACCACAAAGAGAGAAAAACTGAGAGAGTGCGAGTGACTCAAGTGACATCATTCCAAAGTTCAAACCAAGACTCAATGATCATGTGCTGGGTGCGCTGCAGTTTTGTTATATTGCTGATTTTTTTTTTTTATAAATACCTTTTAAGAGATCAGGGAGTATTGTAATTTCTTGACGGGATCTCGGGATCTATCAAGGGTTCTGAGCTTAGATTTGGTATGCAAGCTTCTATAATTCTATAATTTTTTTTAGATTTATGTTGGGTCGTTTAAGTGTTGACTTAAAAAAATATATATATTTTTATATAATCATAAAAAAATTATGGTTAATATATTGACTAATTGACGTAATGACGTAATTCCCTATTAAATAAATCGTACCATTTATTACCTAATTAATTCCTTAATAATATTATTGACTAATTTACAGACGTAATTCCCTTATAAATAATTAAACCATTTAATTCTTGATAATTTTCACTAATTTAATGACGTAATTCCCTTTTAAATAATGGCACCATTTATTCATTCATTAAACACCACCCTCATTTAAGCTTATTTAATTAGAAAATTAATTAAAAAAAAGGATTTTTCACTCAATGTTTTTTTACCACAAGCCCCGGGTATTGCATAGTCGGCCAGTTCGAGCCCTATTTACTTAATTTTATTCTGTTATTCAGCTGATGATCTGACCGGCCTGCTTTGAATCTGTTTCGTATATATTTTTCTCACCCCAGCGAGTGCATTGTTTTCATTTTTATTTTTTATTTTCTCGCGTGGTTCAACGCTTTTGTGAGTTTGCTCGTTGACCTTAAATGCAATTTGTAGCTGCTCATGTTTTTGATATTTACTTCCGTCGTTGTCCTTGCCAAAGTGCAAAAGCCTCCGTGGCAGAAAATAAAAAAAAAAATAAAATAAAATAAATACGAATAAAGTATAACAAGTCATCCCCCGTTTTGAGGCTTGGATTTTTTATTTGCGATCATTCGATCTCGAAACTCCGATTTATGGTTGGCAATTTGCAGAAATATGCTAATTATTTCTTAGATCCTCTCGGGCCGGCACCTGAGATGCTTCTCTTTCATTAACCCCCATCTATATCTCCTCGGATGGCCCAGCTTTTGATAATAATTATTTGAAACGCGCGTCGCCTTTTGCTAAAAATAAATATAAAATGTGGGCACAAGCATCGATGTTTTTTTTATTTTTTCGCTCGTGCTTCGATTAGCCATCAACAATCGGGTGAAGAAGAAAAAAACAACAGCAGAAAATGTGCTAAATACTCGCAAGCATTGTGCACGCCTCTTGTTCATGTCCAACGGGGAGCCATTGGGCTGATGAGCCAGGGGAAAATTGCTAAATAATTTTCCAGCCAAAAGAAAACACAACAATGTGTGGGAAATTGGGGGCATGTTTTGAAATTTAAACATTTAGGTGAATTTTTGGGGAACCAGATATTTACAAAATAAGAATGTTCATAAAATAAAATGAAAATTTATAAAAGAATTTAGAGTTTTAGGATATATTTTAAAGGGTTTTAAATTATATTTATAATTTTAAATAAGGGATTTCTTGTTTATCTTTCTCTATCTTAATTATGAATAAATCCTATTTAAGCCATGTTTTCTCATTTAATTGATAAGCAGAAGTCTAATAAATAAAAGAAATAAATAAACTATAAAATGAAATACGTTTTTCATTTAGTTTTTGTACAAGTCTCCCTAGTCACGCCATAAATATTAATTTCACAATTCCCATATTATTTCCGCGATTGCACTTTCAGCCTCAACTTGAGTGCGGCGAATAGGGAGAGTTCCCTGCGAGACTGCTGTAATATATAGTAGTCTGATTCCGATTCTGGGTGTATGGCAGTCATTCAATCAGTGCGTGGCTGCTTGTAACCGCCGGAGATAAGCAGCCAGACGCCTCCGCCCCATCTCAAAATCAACAACAACAAACGCGCCCACTTAGCCAAACACAAAAAAGAATAAAAAATAAATAAAAAACGCAACAATGTCAATAATAAAAGCA